TCTATCTATCTATCTATCTATCTATCTATCTATCTATCTATCTATCTATCTATCTATCTATCTATCTATCTATCTATCTATCTATCTATCTAGCCTTTATATATTATTTTAAACATATGTTGTCATTTAGATGTGTATGGACCCTACCGGACCTGGCAGGGCAGGGCAGGAGGAGAACATGGCATCAGTGGATGCAAATGTAGTGTTTGCTTTGCTTGGATTCGTGGATCATGTGTGTGGGGCTGTGGGATCATTTTGGGAAGTTTTTTGTTTATGTCTATGTGCAGAAGATACTGCTGTTAGATGAAGGTTTGGGGGTTTAAGTTTGATTGGGGAAGGTGGCTGAATAATGAGTTAGATACTCCAATATATTTGAATGAATGAATGAATGAATGAATGAATGAATATGACTAATTGATGGATGAACGAATTATTAACTTTACCAATTACTGACACAGGAGATGGATAAAGCCGATACCCAGACATGAAAATAAAAAATATCCATCCATTACTTGTTTCCTACTAGATTATGTAAATTCTTCAAATGCAATTCTTTTTCATCTCAAACAGATGCTGTTTCAAGTGAAAACTCCCTTCATTATAGGTTAGGTGCAATGAAAAATCATAAAAATCGAATATATTTCCACATGCAAGCCCCTCTGTCACCTCTGATGATTCATTCTCTGGTTAAAAAACCGATTTCTGAAGGACCTTCGATGTATTCAAACTGTCTGGCAAGCAAGAAAAAAACCCTTTGATTTGCCCTTATTCAGCTAGTGTTAAAGTATGTAGACAATCAGCGCGGTGAGGAGGACGGGTGGACGTGGCTCTCTCCGTGGTTCTGAAAGACTCTATCCTCTGTCCAAGGTTCTTCTTTCGTGTGGTTTCTTATTTTGCCATTCTCACACACAGCTAAAACACGTATGGTGTGGACGATGCAGATGTTTGGTTTGTAAAGGTTTATCGGAAGAAGATGCGAATGTTTGATGACTTGATCGATTTTTCCCCCTTTTGTTTTCTGATTTATAAACGATGAGTTGTGGCTAAAACGATAGCATAATTCTCTTTCTTGTTGTTGAAACTAGTTAAACAGTAAGCATGAAGGTTGTATCTGGTTTAAAAGTTTGCGGGAAAACCTGTTAAACTGACTTTTTTTCGCTTGTACTTGCCTTAACTGGTAGTCACACTGGGGGCCGCTGCAGTGACGATCACATACACACTCACAAAAAGGCTGTTTAGTCGATCGCCGAGAGTCTCGGGTTTAGCTAGCCGCAGGAACAGCTGAGGAGAAGCATAACAGCTACATAACCATCCCACTCGGACCTGCCGGTTTGCTCTGGAGACGGTTTAACCAAGCGGGTGATATGGCTGAGAGTGAGAATATCTTTCTCAAGGCAAAACACCGGACATTCAGCGGACTCACTGAAGGTAACTGACTGCCTTTAGCTTCTTTAGCTCTGCCGGCTAGCCAACTTCTGTGAGCTAACTTGGCAGCACCGGTGACACAGGTTGTTGGTGGCGACAGGTTAATATTCTGACAGAGGGAAAGCTGTCACTTAGGTTTGCGTAGCTTTCTTTTAACCAACAAGGTGACACTGTCAACCACAGGAAGACAGAGTGGCTAGCTAGCTAGCTCGTGTTTACAAAATTAAAAGTAGGGAGTGTGGCAATCTTGTTCTTGCAAAGAATCAAATCGGGGCAATCCATAAACACAGGGGTTGCGGCTATTTCGATTTGCATTTGTTTCTAACTCTGGTGCAGAAGAGCTACAGAGCTGAGTATTCATTCATGCACAACTTAAAAATAAAACCCATGCTTGACTTCGGCTGCAGTCTCTAATTAGTCATTCATTTATAGCTAAATCAAGCCCTGTCCTGGAAGGTTTAGGCAGACTTCTTTCAGTCGAAAGTGTTTTCTGTGCCTCGGAAGAAACTGAGGGGTAAGTTAGATTTAGATGGTTTACTCTTAAGTGGCAAAGTAGTCCTGCCGTTAAGATATTCAAATATTGAAAACATGATCACAGCGCCCACAGCTATGTGTTTATGAGCTGCTGCCCCTCCTGTTTGTTTTACTTTATTTAGCACCCCCTGCTGGAAGCAGGCTAGTATGAGGAAACTGGGGGACAAAAATTGAGATCTTCAGTATTTTATTATTTGCAGCCCATTCACTTTCATCTGAAATGGTCATAAGTTTTGTTATGTGGAGTCCACGCAGTGGCCGAAATCAGCGCGATTGGTGTTTGACTTTGCAAGAAGGCTGCTGCTTATCTCTGGGTGTGAGAGCACTGCCAGTTTCTTTTCTTTTAAAATATGCCATTCAAATAGACACATACCTGGCTTCACAGAGTAAAAACATTTTCACTATAAAGTGTCCTGAATCTAATAAAAAGGTTTATTTATTTATTTTAATGAGGTCAGTTAAATCTTTTGTATCTGTTAGTTATTCAGTACTCAGGGGCAGGACCAGCATTTTAAGGGACATATGTTTGCATATTGAACTTGTCTTTTTCCTTTGCCAAGAATATTCCATCCAAAGTTTATATTTTCAGGAAGCAAAATTCACATCAAAGCATATTTAAAGCTGGTGCAAAATGAAAAACTTTTCTGTCAAACAATGAGTTCAAAGATGTGAAAGTTTTTGGTTTTAGGAGGTTAGTTCACAGCTATAAAAGTGTACCTGAAGCATTTCAGTGGGTGGCTCCACGGTGTACTGGTTAACACATTCACCTTGCATTCAGAAGATCCCCAGTCTGACACCAGGAGGAACTGCAAACACAGTCTGAGAGGGTGGTGCAGGATAAATGGGAGGGTTTTGTCAGGAAGGGCATCCTGTGTAAAACAAATCTGTGCCAAGTCATGCAGATTTATTCACTGTGGTGACCCCTTGGGAAATGAGGTAGTGGGTAGAAGTACCAACAACTGAAACATTTCAGTGCCGGTGTCAATATTGACATTTCTGTCAAACTTATTTAAACATGGTAACCTAGCAATGCACTCTAATCCGGATTGGCTGGCACACCTTCTCCATACACTGGTCTTAAGTGGAATTTAGTGAAAGTACTTTCATTTTGCATATGCAAATATAAAATCATCATCAATAGGGGGCTTCCACATTTTACTAACCTTCTACTTAGTGGTTTTATTTATTTAGAGATGTTAGATCACTATTGATACCTGAGAGGAAGAGAGAGCCAGAGTGAGTGAGCTCTGACTTTGGGCATTACAGGGGCTGGATCTAATGGCACAATTTAATTCCACACCGTGGTCCTTCACCACACTAAATATCCCCTTTAGATTTAGTATGGGGGAGATTCAGGAGAGGAAAAATCATTAGAAAGTATGTGCTGTTTTATGTCACTCTCCATTTTTCTGTGGCCCCTGAGTACCCCCGGCCTCACACATCCACAGCTCCTCTCCCTGCTCTTGCAAACTTTTGAGGATTTTTCAAAACTGTGCAATGGGTGGTGTTTGGCTCAGAGCTGGGGGTCAAGTTACACTTTAAAATGCAGCTTTAGTCTTTATCCTCTCAAGAAGTAAAAATGCTGACAGACTGTCACAGCCCGCTAAGATAAAATTAGGCTTTTTCCACCAAACTTAAGGAGGACTTTTATGCTCATTTCCATATTTTTATTTGTGAACTGTTTGCATGAGTCACAGTTCGAAATGATGCTTATTTATCAAACAGTGGCAGCCCCTCACTGCTCTCTGTCTGAAACAAGCCTTAGCTCCCTTCCCCCAGCTTTTAAGCAATGGTACTATGCAAAAGTCTTGAGACACACACATTTCTTTATCTTTATGCAAGGAACATCTGCGAACATCCATGGGAAAATGGTATATAAGGAAAACAGTTTGTACAATTCTAACAAGCTTAAAAGTCCATATTTGGCAGTGTGTTTGAGATCATCCTCATGCTCAAAAATGAAGCTGTTGGAAGTCTGACACTTTCCAGATGGTATTGCATGGTGGATTGAAATCTGATGGTGCTTTTCTGCACTCATAATTCATCAGTTTTGACAAGAAACAAAC